TGAGCCCCTATACATGTTTCCAGCAGAGTTGGCGATCCGTGGTATATTGGCGCCGGCGCCTGTGGCTGAGATTTCACTTTCGAGCGAAATGGATGTGAAGATCGTATTCAGGACGTCGAACCACCATTAGAGACTAGTCGCTGGGCAGCTCCAGGCCGAACGGATGTGATATTCGTGTTCAAGAGGTAGGAAACCACTAAAACCCGATTTTCAGCCAAGATGTAGGAAAAAAGTCCGTAAAAAACTTCTTTTCTGGCTGTTTTCGAAAGTGTGGAGTGGTAATAGTTGAATAGTGCCCTAAAACACTACAACTCAGATACTGTGGATCTTTGGGCAACGTTTAGCCTTCAATGACTCTCGTCGACTCGCTATAATTGCAAAAGCGCTTCAATGGTATAAACGCGCACGCAGCTGCAAGAATACGCTTTTATAACGCAGTCTTGTATCGATCGGCGCTGGCCGCTAGGGCTTTGGAAGAGTATAGAAAATGGGGAGTGCCAGATTGCTTGAAGAAGCGCTTATCCTACACTCGTTCAAAACACAAGTCGGAAAGTATTAACATTTGGGGCACTGTTAAGCTTCGAAAACATCCACTAAGTCATATACCCGTTTACAAAAACCTCAGCGGACATTCGCCGTTGATAAAGGGGGAGAGCATTCAAAGTTTCTTGGATTTTTTTCCTAGAGCAGTTTGCTCAAAGTGTCGCACAACTTTCTCTCCAGCCTAATAGTAATGCTGAATTTAAAAAAACCATGGCAAAACGTCACTTTACCTGAAATATCAGCAGCGTAAGCATCTGCTTGTGCAGACTCTGTAAATTTTTGCTGAGTGTAGCGTTTTTGAGAGTGGTGTTAATTTTCATAGCCGAGAAAACCATAGCTGTTATGGTAATGCTCAAGAAAAGAATAAGCTCAGCCATCAGCATGAATTCCAAAAGACCCAATTCATTCTAAAAGCTGAAATTTGAAGGAAGTAGACATGCCAGACGGTGTCAGATAGAGTCAAGAGTGCTCAAAGAATCTTTCACCAAGGGATCGTGTTTGGAACGTCAATGGTGGAGGGTCGCCTGTGCATAGGGTATTGGCGAACAGCGTCTGAGGATGGTAGCGGATGCAATTAGTACTGATTCTCGTTGCATCCGTAATTGCATGCAACGCTAGGACCATGGACTTCGCGCTCCACAAACTGGTACCGTATGGTTACGATCGGGCGCGCTTGCAATGTTTTGCCATATTATTGCGGCAGTGACATTTCACTGCAATTTTGTTTTCAACAGGAGTGCTTCCAGTACAATAAAGGTACAGTCTCTGAGAGCATGCTGTCCAGGTAGCATAGTCACTGTCAAATGATTAGTGCACTAGCTAATAAGGCGGATTACTTCGTGAGAAGAATCTTTGCAGGTTTCTCTGCTTTATAACTTTTATCTTCGCTCTATTTCCGCTTTATTCTTTAGACAAAATCTGCCGGTCCCACCAGGAAAAAAGAGCATGGCTGTGAACTGACGAACACTGTGAAAATTTAATAACTCAATGACATGATGTTTATCACGAGCGTGCACTTCATTCACGCACGTGGTTTGCAGACTGCAACGCGTAACGCGACGTAATTCTGAGTATCTCATTTCATGTTCGTGGAGGGACTAATCGCACTGCTTCCCACGATATTCTTTCATCATCAATTGCGCGCAATTGTGCTGTGACAGTTTATCCATGTAGAGCATCTCTTGTCTCAAAGAATGAACAGAATGTTTTTATTAATTCTTTTTTGATAGGACATGAAGCGCAAAAGTTGGCTCGAAAAGTTGTTTCACGGGATATTATCTCCACGAAATTTACTGGAATTAATCCTGGCACCCGATGTTCTTCAGTTTTTTTTCCTATGGTATGACCCTAACTCATGACTCACAGGGTCTTCACAACATATTGCTGGAGGAGGAAGGCCGAATATGACCTCCAGTGAATAGATATACCCTTCATGAATTCCGCATGACCATGCTCTACCCTTGATGGAGAATGCTCCCACAATCACAACATTATGCCAGATTGACAAAGAGAGCTTACTGTTTCTCTAGTTCTGCTAGCGACCTTTTTCTCTCATTGAAGATTAAGACGACGTGAGACTTACTACGGAGAATCCAATCTGAGCGCATTTGAAAGCATCTAACTCAGTGAACTCTTTGGCCATTTGGCTGATGTTTGCAGTAAATTGATCATTCGGCCAGTACACTACGTAAGTAACTAAAAACCAGTTTGCGAAAATCGCTGCATTCACGAGAATTACGATAGAGAGATTCCGTGGAGCCATGATATGTTCAAAGAGATGGTGTCTGAAATAACAATGAGGAATCCTTCATACGTTGAAGAAAAAAAGTAGTCAGCAACCTAAAGTGGTAGCATCGCAATCAGTCGGCTTCAGCTTCGAAATTTCTGGACTGGCCCCTCCTCCCTACGGCCTTGCCACCACTGGTTGTTTTCTTTCTAAATAGATCACTAGCTGATCACCATTTTAGTGGAGCGAGCCAGCTGGAGGCGGCTCACCGTCATAGATTCTCCTAGTGACTGCGATGTTACAACCTATAAGACCAAAAAAAATGTAAAAAAAACTAATAGTGCTCAAGCTCAAACAGCTCTAATAATTCTGCGAAGCAGTGCCCGACAAATTTTCCCTTCTAGAAAAACGGTAATGACACAGCCGACGTTGTATTCGCAATAGCCCTGATCACACTGTACCAGAATACCTTCGAATGCTGTCGTTTTTTCAGCCCTCGGCTTAGGTTGAGAGAGGTTTTTCGTTATCGTATACGGCTCACATGAAAATTGCTCAAAAATCCCGCAGATAAATCGCTATTAGATAAGTTGGCGTGGTATTGTGACCGCCGCGCCCGATGACGCTTGTGCACGAAGTGTGCACTCGTTTGCATGGAACCTGATCCTTATCATGAGAGGCAATTAGGTCAGTCAAGCCCGAATGACTCGCCGAGACAGTGCTGGAGTGTAGTGATTCAAGGTGCCGTTCGGAACTCTGCTCATGTTGCGACACGGCCAGCCGCACACTCGAAGGCAGACCTCGCGATGAGTCAGCAGAAAGGTAGGTAGCGACCTTTGAAACGATAGTTAATTCGCTTATGAGGAAAAAAGGAGAGGAATCGTTGAAAACAAACGTATAACAAATCATAAAGAGACGGAGGGTGATATCGTGACAAGTGCTCGATTACCACGCTAACGAACAGGCACTGAACTTCTGCTCTCGCTCAAGCTAGCCAAATCTTCTGCCCAGCGAGTATGGTGAATCGCAGCTAGGTTCGTCAGGGAGCACAAAAAAGTTGGCTTGTACATCAGATGGCAGATGCAATTATTGTTATACCATATCACATTCAATAAGAGGCTAAGAACGACGAAGAATGCCAGTGTGGCCCTCATAAGCGGCAGTTCTGACACCTCCCAGTTGTCCCGCCTACCCTCAGAGACTATTTTGTGCACAGTATTAGCGCTGGGTGACGCGAAGAAACCATTACTGAGCCTGGGGTAGCAGAATATCTTATTGCTGACATAAAGCGAGCAAGTGCGAAGAACTCGTTCAGAGAAGCTGCCGGGGAGCTTATCTAAAGTGCTCTAGACTTTTGAAATTTTTGTTTTTTTTTCTTAACCGAATATTCATTTAGCGACTGAAGGTTCGCGAGTGAACAGTCGCGGAATTCGTCTTCAAAGGGTGAACTCATCTGCGATACTTCAGTTTACTGTTTTTAAAAATTTCGGTGAACTCGGTGTGTTACACATTTACAACAGCTTCAATCAGTTGCAAGTTTGAATAAGTGAAGAGATTTGATGCCAAGGAAGTTTGCCAGTAATAAGTGGTTTGTATGTTTGCTGGAAAACAAGCTCACTTACTTGCAGACCTGAAGATAGCGGTAAAGAAAGCTATTGGCGATCAGCAGAATAGAGGTAATGAACACAGCAATGAACACAGTCATAAGGATTTGCCCGAATAGTAGCCCGTGAACTAGTCCTGTCGCGATAAAAACCAACGAGAAATTATCCGCTAGGACTACCTGGAGATATCATCAGTTCGAGAACAAGTTATTGAAAACGAAGAATTTATTTCCAATATTAACTTTGCTTCCTGGTCTGAATAAATGGTCTAACATAGGTATTCACTCCCACTGTTCAAAATTCATGCTCACGCTCTTGTCGCTCGTAAGACTAGTCAACCAATCCAACTTTTCCATCCGAAGTGCTTGTAGCTCCGCATTTTTATGCTTTATGCTTTCTTGGCTGGCTTGGCTCTTGTGATCGGGTCAAGTATTCAAAGGCTATGGGCACGATAGTTCACCCACTCCAGAAAATGGAAGCAGAGGCACCGAATAGTACAACAGCAAGCAAAAGGGGATGAAACCGCCAGGAGAAGCTCAAAACAGAGCCCTCATTTACCGCTTCAATCGAAGTGTTCGAGCCTACACCTAGATCATTCATCGCTGGTTAAAGATCAATGTGAAAAATCAAGGCACAGGAGATATGAGAACACATTATTTCGCAGTAGCAGACTTCCCGACGATATCAGCAGGGGTCTTTAACAGAAACAGGGGCAGACTAACAACATGTTCAGGGAACGGCTGTCAAAGATTTGCAATAAACCCAAAAAAGTTGAAAGGTCAATAAAAAGTCTAAAACCTCAAAAGGGGCGATACTTGCAAGAAAACCTTGCACTCTGCCAAAGAAAGTTATCTTCGACATTTCCAGACGGAACCCTGAGAAAGGGAGAAAAGCGCCATTTCAGCCGTTTTGGGTTCAAACACCCGATGCGGTCGTGACCAATTCCTGACAAGTGCGGGCGTGTCGCTGTTGGTGGGAGTACGGGTGGGTATGTCAGGCCTTGCCAAGACGCTTAGAGCCCTCTTTTCGTTGAGAAAGGCGCTATTTGGGGCTTGTTCAACGAAGCGGTATTCTTCGGTAATCGGCGTATTCATCATAAAAGTCTAATGGAATCGTCGTGCCCTTTGCCACTGAATCGTTGGAGCAGTTTAATCCTTCTTCCCGATGACGCTTGTCCTCATACTGTTCGGAACCGTTCAAAAGAGAAGCAACGGAATAGCCTCCTCCCCTCCCCCTCGAAAATTACACTGTTGCTCTTCCAGACTGTCCTCCTCACTTCCTACATTCAAAATATTCATACTGGATGCGATATGAATTTTCTGCTCTGTACTAGAAGGACAAGTAATGTTCAGTAAAATGGGGCAGAATACGGCGCAGTTAGATGAAGGAGGCACTTCCGCTATTTCACTGGTTCACATTCACAAGTTCCATTCTGGTAAAACCTGTGAACGCATGTGAAGCTGGTGCAAGCTCGTCGAGCCGCTATGATGAACGATATTTGTATGGAATTTCACTGCAAGAGTTTACCGGTACTCTTCACAGGAGTTGACAGGCGGGCTTTATAATGTTAATCTGGTACATTTCGTGGCTTCACAAGACTTCACAGGTCTGCACTTGATGGATCGACACGCAATTCGGAGCAGCAGATGTGCAGAAGCCGCCCCCCTAGCGTCGTCAAATTGGCGTTGCTACTGAAACCGAGCAATCGGCTGGTAATGTGCATAACGAGTTTCAAATTGTTGTGTTGCTTTGTGCTGCGAAATGTTCATGACGGGGAAAAAATCACAAAAATTCTATTTGGATATAACTGTATCGATAAAGACTCACAGGAACAGTTAGGAATATGCACCAGGAATATATAATGTCCTGAACCGCAGTCAGTAGGAAGAAATACTTATAGGATTTTACATTTTTCAGAGGGCAACGGAAGTATACATATACCAGATAAAGGTTGATAAGTATTGACAACAAAGAGATAGTCTGACAAATCGGTGAGAATGCTGGGCTCATCAGGAATGAAAAGGGAACTGAAAATCGAAGGTCTTTTCTCTCAAAGATTGCATGCATATTCAAATTAAGCGGTTCCCAACAAGCTTTAGCTTTTATAAACACTCAATAATGCTCAAAAAGTTATCATTGTATTCAAGCAGGTAATATGGAACAAATTAAGAACAGTTGGAATGAGAAGTGATCATCGTACAACATGATCAAATTAACTCACAACATTCAAAAAATTACAAAGTAACTCAAAATTAAAAAAATTTGAATAATTTGGATATTCACCAAATCTCGGCATCGTGAAGTCTAAGCCAATATAGACAAAATAACTGCTCCCTCGCAGGCGTCGGGTTAGTTGGCAAGCAGTACGCTTACCGCGCTTGTGGCACGGGTCACATCCGGATCAGTCGCGCCTAGTCCAACCCAGCCTTACCCTCAGGTGACCTTGAATGGTACCAAACGATGAGAACATTGACGTGCCGCATCCCAAAAAGCTCTCTGTGTGCTTTGGAAGGGGGCTTTCATGTCCGCTCATGGCCCCTCAAACCGAACAGCCTGACATTCTCTAACTAGGCTAGCCTGACATTCTCTAACTAGGCTAAGTCAAGACCAAAAACTTTTACACTCTCACTGAATCGTCTCACCCAGGCAGCACGACTTGGTTTTGCGCGAGGTCAAGGCACAGCTCACAATAGGCCTTGTCGGAGAACGGCCTTTTCCGAGGTATATAGCGCCGGTTTCTGTTCTGACCATGAGAGGAGTTCACAAAAGAACTTTAGGCTTGTGTTCATTCCGGCGAAAGACATTTTGAAGGGGTCTTATCTTAAACTCTGAGCTCAACGGCTTTTGTCCTCTAGCCTTACAGCACTCTCGGCTGCCGACATCCACTCATCACGTTAAACGTGAGGGTTCACCGCTAGGCTTAAATTCGCGTTCTGAAAAGCTCTGGATACTGATAACGCTATTCGAATCAGCAGTTTGAGGCTGATAGATATCACGAGAATGCTCGGTAATAGTCTCACGTTTTAACCTCAGGCGGGATTGACATCGCGGTTCATTACCGATATCGGTTAACTCGGCTATCACACCAGAAGAGTAAGTGCTCTAACTGTAAAACTCTGGCACGAAAGTCATTGGACTGAAAGGGTAAAGGTGACACTGGAGGGGTAATGGATACCGCACTAGCCCGCACAGCGAGAGATGAGCACACGTACAGTCTGTATCCAAAAGGCAGACGGGTCGTAATTGCGTACTAGTGACTTCGTCGCGCGGCACTGGTCTCAGAAGAAACGGTTCTCTTACGGCCACATAGTCTCTACTCCCCTGCCGCTGCAAACGCCAGCAAAACGCTGGTGAAACGCTGGAGAAACGCTGACGCTGGTGACGCTGGGAACGCTAGATCGATATGCATCCTCTCCCCGGCACTG